CATGTCCAGGCCATCTCCAGAAAAACCAATTCATACTCACTTATGTATCCCTCTCCTTCTAGCCTGACAATTCCGAGGGGGTCAAGAATTTCACAGCAGACAGGACACCTCCTGGGGGAGGGCAGAATATGAGCATATAAGGACCAGTTTCCTGTCCTAAAAATGCCCTGGCAATTGCTAGTAATAATTTTCCCTGAGATGGCACCTCCTAAATGACCGTCACAAATTCCTTTCCTAAGCCCTAGCACGCTCATCGACCTGTGTACCAAGCAATCACCGTCTGCCTATTCCAGGCTCCTGTGGGTCCGTGCCCCTTCTAGTCCCTCCCAGGGGGGTGATCAGGCCCCCTCTCCCACCCTGCCAGGTGGGTTCCTCCTTACCTGAGTGCTCAGTTTTCCCACTGCCGTCCACTACTTGCTAATGTGAAAGGTCCGGGCATTGAGAAGCAGAATCCTTCCAGAAGGGCGAGGTACCTTCCCCCCTCTAGAAGATTCAAGTCACAAGGCCTCGGAGTAGTCCCAAATGGGACTTGTCTTCTCAAAGTGAGGAGTTTCCTGGCCAACACACCAAATGTTGTAGCCAGGTGTTCTGGGAAACAAACTCACTCAGAAGGACAGTGCAGATAGTGGAGTGCAGTTTATTACACCTGCGGGCCCAAGGCAGAGTCTCCTCTTAGCCAAGGACCCCGACCAGTTTTTGTGAAAACTTTATATACCCTAAGTGTACTTGCTCAAACCCACCTCTCCAAATTCCTTGAAACTAGTCTGGACAAAGTAAAAGATACAATCAAAGTTAACCCATGATTCGTGTGTTACAAGACTAGATAAACAGTAGATATTTATCAATAGGCCTGTGGCCATATCCCGATAAACATAGTGGAATCTACCACTTTGTTCTGTTACAGAGATAATTAGTATATTCTTTTAGGCGATGGAGAGTCCAAGTACAAGTCCTGAGGCTCTTTTATCCGGGGGGTCTGGTTTTCCATTGGTATGCCATTTCTATAGACACCAGGCACAAAGTTCGGAGTCCATTGGGAAGGGTGAACATGCGTGTAGCCTAATGTTTGCAGCCTAGCCTAAAATGGAGTCCAGCTCTGCCTGTTTCCTCCTTCAATATCGTGTCCCCTGTCCCCACAGAATCTGGACTTCTTATCCCATTCTGGACTGGTTTCTCTCTAGGTCTGCTGTGTGCCCAGCTAGGATCCTTGGATTCCCTTCTCTCTGGTTGATGTTCCTGATTCCTGGATCCACATCTTTCATGGTTATGTCTTATCTCACCCCATAAAAACACACACACCTCTTTTTCCCCTGCAGCTCATTCCCAAATAACTTTCTCAGAAACAACTATGATGGTAACCTTTCTATTCCCCATTTAGCTCCATTTCTTCTGTCATTTGTTCAATTTTATGCAAGCTTTCTTTGAATTTCTTTTCCATCCTTTCTTTACAGTTATTTTGTAAACACTTTATTAGTTTCCAAGATCTATTTTTGTTTGTTTCGTTATTTATTTCCCTTTTCCATGTATCTTGTTCTCATTTTATGAATAAAACAGGTTTCTAATCTTCTTCAGACATGGGTTTGAGTTTTCAAAATTTTTCAATTTTCAAAATTCTCTGCTTTGTGACTTCTCTGGTGGTTCAGTGGGTAAAGACTCCATGCTCCAATGCAGGTGGCCCAGGTTCCATCCCTTGTCAGGGAAGTAGATTCCACAAGCTCAACAAAGAGTTCAGATGCCACAGCTAAAATATCCCACGTGCCACAACTAAGATCCAGCTTGGCCTAATAAATAAATAATATTTTAAAATTATCTGTTTCTTCTGATGTCATTTTTATCTCTTTTTTCCAGGTTGTCATATTTCTCATATGTCTGATCCTGGATTGCCCATTCATATTAAGATGGAGAAGGGTTGATAGGCACATTTTTGTAGAGTGATTGGATGAGGACCTGCGATTTCCATAAAACAGAAATTTTTTTCTGATGTCTTTCCATTCTGATTTCCCCACTTTGTTGCAAACTTAAGGTTGCTGTGAATATGGCATGCACCATGGTATTGGTGAGCTTGTCCCCTGGTCTCCCCTCTGGCTCCCTCTCATCTTGGTCCCTCTCTGGGACTCTGCCATGGGACCATTTTTCTTGCCTCCACTCACTCTTGCTGTTTCTCTCACTCTACTCTTCTCTATTCAGCTATCACTTCTCCATTCACTCAGTCCTCAATAATGTATTGAAGACTCTAGGCTCCTATTGCCACCATTCAGGCTTTTTTTTTTTTTTAATTAGCCACAGAGTGAGGAGAGGCAGAGTATGGGTTCTTAAAGCCCAAGAGTGGGTTGGAATCCAGTCTATGCTGAGCCAGGTTTCTGACCTTGGGCAAATCACAAAGCATCTATGCTTCAGCTTCCTTAGCTAAAAACAGGGATACATGGGTACAGACTTCCAGCTTATCAGTAAATATGCTTTCTAATTTGTGAAATCTTAGAGCAAATACCAGTGCAGAACAAAATCAGAAACACAAACCACTCTCATCAATAGCTGTTGCTGTAACTATAAGGATCTTTACTACCATTTCAGTCAGGTTTCAGAAGGGGTAGTTAAAAAGTGCTTTCTTTAATTCTTAAAATAGGACATAAACATAAGCAACATTTGCTTTCTTTCGTAATCTCACAGCACAAGATAGTCACAACCAGAATCAAAAGAGATTCTGTCAATATAAAGATCTGCTACTTAAACAACTGAGAACTGGCAAGACTGAATTCTATATAAAGATTTGCTACTTAAAACAGACAACTGAGAACTGGCAAGACTGAAAGGCTAGACACATTACAATTCATGAGTGTGAATGTAAATTGACGCAGCTTCTTTCCAAAGCAGTGTGGAAACGGCTTAGATGTTGATAAACCCAGGCACAGTTATTCTACTTCTGAAAGAGCTTAAGGAAAAAGTCAAATGCAAGCAAAGTTTTCTACAAGAAGAGTGTTCTTTGCCCTATTATTTACCTAAATAATTAAAAAGAGTCCCAAATTTAATAGTCAAGGAAGGACAGCAAGGAAGACTGGGCCCCATCAGAGGTCCTCAGCCACCCAGGGCAGGGCTGCAGGGATGGGGCGGGGATCGTGGGGCTCCAGGCCCTTGTAGGATAAAGGCTCTTGCAGAAGCAAGGAGGGCATGGGCTGTGGGAGCTGAAGCACCAGGTACTTTATCCCAAGACAGAGACTTGAGCACTGGGAGCAAGACATCACTTTGGAATGAAAAGACTCATTTACCAATTAACATATATCCACAAGTAAATATTTTTGCATATTATAGGGAGTAGAGCATAGTCATCACAAACATGCAATTTAGATCAGAAAGACTTGGGTTCAAGTTGAGGCTCTGGCACCAGAGTGAAAACTTGGGTTGACCTAGGTTTAGGTGAGTTTCAGGGGCCTGCATGTCATAGACACTGGATCAATATCACCTATTACCAATTATTAAACACATGTTCCCAACCTCGCATAATTTCCAGAATATTCCTTCCTGTCTGTCCTTCTGTCTCTGGTTTCACTGTTCCTAGCCTCACAAGTGGCTTTCTCCTCTCTGATTACTTTCTCCTTGTGCCCCAGCAGAAGAGCAGAACTCTGACTCCACCTGGAGGGAGCTGGAGGGAGGATGAGTAACTTTCCTTACCTAGTGGCCAGCAGAGTCCAGGGGCCAAAGGACCACGCTGGGTTAAGTCCCTGGTGGTACTCATGGGCGTCCCAGGGGAAATAACCGTAGACCTTGCCCCTCTCTCTTCCCCAGGGGTGAAGCCACACCTCCTTCCATCCTGATGCAGAGAAGGAGCTTAAGGGAGATCTCTGAGACCCTGCCGCTGCCACCATAAGCTCAGAAGGTCTGGGGGACTGCTCAGCTAGTCACCTGTCTCCTATCTGGCTGGTCCCTCCTTGTGACCCAGAATTGAGGTGATGCCAACAGCCGAAATAAACTAGAGAAGAATCAAGAACCGAGAAGAGGACGGATAAGCGTCCTCGAGACCCTAGAGGAGTCAGGAGAGCCCAGCAGCCAGGGCTGCACCCACAGGCCCTCTGCCAGGCCTTCTACTCGGGGAGCCAAGTCCACGGTGCTCACTGCCCCCACCACCCAACAAGTGACGCAGAAGTGAGGCCAGGACAGCCCACGGGGAGGGAGGACAGCAGAAGGAGCCCCCGAGGCCAGACGGCACTTCTCCTGCCCTCTCCCTGTGGTCCGAACCTCCTCTTGCTCCTGGCCCCTGGGACCTCACCACAGAAGCCAACCCAGCTGCTCTGTGAGAGTCAGCAGACCCTGAACTGAACCCCAATCTGGCCTTTGCCATCTCCCACCTGTGTGATGTGGAGCACCTTACCTGACCTCACCTGTAAAATGAGAATATTGCCTTATATTGTGATGAGGATCAAATATAATGGGTGTCCATGGCCTGGGCCACATAGCAGGTCCTGTAGAGTGTGATGGGCACAGAGCATAGTCATCACAAACCTGGGATTTGGATCAGAAAGACTTGGGTTGAAGTCCAGGCTCTGGAATCAGTGTGAAAATTTGGGCTGACCTAAGTTTAGGTGAGTTTCAGGAGTCTACAAGTCATAGATGCTAGATCAATATCACCTATTACCAATCAGTAACACAAGTGTTCCCAGCCTCACATAATTTCCAGAGTATTCCTTCCTGTCTATTCTTCTTTGTCTGGCTTTATTGCTCCTATAACTTTGCAGATGACTATCTCCTGTCTTATTACCTGTTCCTTATACCCCAACAGGAGATCAGGACTCTGACTTGGCCTGGAGGGAGCTGGTGGGAGGATGAGTAACTTTCCTTAACTAGTTAGTGGAAAGCAGAGCCCAGGAGACAGAGAACCATGCTGGGTCAGGTCTCTGGTGGCACTCGTGGCCGTCCCAGGGGAACCCACCAGAGACCTCACCCCTCACTCTTCCTGCAGTCACTGCTCACTCACGATCGAGCCAATAGTCTGCTTTTTCTTCCCCAAGGGTGAAGCCACACCTCCTTCCAGCCTGAAGCAGACAAGGAGCTGAAGGGAGATCTCTGAGACCCCCTGCCACCACCAGCAGCTCAGAAGTCCTGGAGACTGCTCTGGTAGTCAGCTGTCTCTTATCTGGCTGGTTCCTACTTGTGACCCAGAACTGAGGTGGTGCCAACTGACTGAATTAACCTAGAGAAGAATCAAGAACCAAGAAGGAACTGGATAAGCATCCTCGGGCCCCCCCAGAGGAGTCAGGGGATTCCCCCACCCAGGGATCCATCCACAAGGCCTCCTACCAGGACCTCTATTCAGGGAGACAAGTCTAAGGGATTCACTTTCTCCCCCTGTTGTCCAGTAAGTGACTCAGAAGTGAAGCCAGGACAGCCATCGTCAGAGGGACAGCAGGGGGAGCCTCCAAAGCCAGGTGGGGCAGAGAGGGGGTCCCCCAGCATCCCTGAGCTCCTCCTGTCCTCTTCCTTTGTCCAAGCTTCCTCCTGCTCCCAGATCCTAGAGCATAACCACAGAGGCCATTTCCTCCAGTTCTCTCCCTGCCTCCAGCCCAACTGCCCTGCAGGCGTCAGCCGACTCTGAACTGAACCCCAGTCTGGCTTTTGCCACCTGTCACCTGTGTGACATGGAGTGCCTTACCTTACCTCACCTGTAAAATTGGAAAAGAATTTCCCTACGTTGTGATGAGGATCAAATATAACATGTGTCCATGTCCCGGGCCACTACTAGGCAGTAGGTCCTACCTAGTGTGGTGCTATCCCCTCTACCTGGAATGTGTTCATTTCAGTGGAAACCTCTCCCCTCCTCCTGAATCCCCCCTTCCCTGTTCTGTGTTTAGACACCTGCCAAGTGCTCTCATATATAAGCACTTGCTTATCAGGTGCGATACCTCAGGCAGGTACTGACTCTATTGATCTCAAATGCTTCCCTGCAGACACCCAAGTGCTCAGTTATTCCCCCATCAACCCCCACCCCAATCAATCAATACACAGATTTAGTGTTTTGGGTTCCCTCCACGTGAGCCCTGTATTCCTTTCTCCCTTAGTGACACAGGAAAAAGAGAAAAATTAATAAGTCTTCATGCTGCAGGACAGAGAGAGGAAGAGAGATTCGGTTTTTCTTCTAATAAGGACACTGATCTTACTGGATTAAGGTGGTACACTTATGGATGGTGTCATATCATTATAATTACCACCTTAAAGTCCCTATCTTCATACAGTCATTGCAAGGGTGGAGGGGCGTTCAGGGTTTCATCTTATGAATTTGGGAGGAAGAACAGTCCACCCAAAACCCCAGGTGAGTCCATCATCAGTACCTAAGATGACTACTGCTCAGGAGGATGAACTTTAACCGCTCTAAACTCGGTACCATTTACCTTCCATCATAATTTCTTCTAATCTTTTTATTTTTCTGTCTAGACGGCAAAAGCTTTTTTAAGGATGTCATTGAACATTTCTTGAAAGAGTGAGCAAGGAAGAACTGCATTTCCTACTCACTAAAGAGAAACCCTGAAAGAGTTTTGTGGCTGAGGATGATTTGTCCAGGTAACGCACACAGGTGTGCCAAGAATATCACCTAAGTCACCCAGATCCCCCAAAGAAGATCTCACCCAGGCTAGCTTCCTCCTGGCAGGCACATCTCCTCCAGGCAGCATCCTATGAATGGGGTTGAGGATGTTCTATCTCAAGAATGCATGAGGAATATTTCCTCCACGTCATTTGCAGGCAGTATGTAGCCTCAGGTTGAGAAGAGAGAGAAACCTGCAAGAAGAGCAGGTTATGTGACTTGGGCAAGTTACTGAACTACTCTCTGCTTCAGTTTCTTTATCTGTTCAGTTTTATTGTGAGGACACTGAGATCATGCATGCAAAGTGTTTCATATGATAGCTGGTATAAAGTAGATACTCAATTAATGTTAAATTTTAAAAGTTTGTTGGAAAGACACAGGGGTCAAGAGCCTTCTCCCAGGAGATGAGAACCAAGAAGGATATCCTTTGGGACAAGTCAGGAAATCCCGACACCAGCATCACTTTGCGTTCCTGAGGATTCTGACTAGAGTGCTTTCGTTCCCAATCTTAGGGACTATACCAGCCCTGCAGGATCCAACTTGCCCACATGGCAGAGAGGCTGGAGAGGAACTGGATGGAGCTGATGGGGTCCTGGCTCTAGCCCTGCCCAACTCTGGGGCTCTGGGCTTATATGTTAGAGTCTCAGACTTGCCTGTGTCCAAGAGGAATAGCAATTCAGTTTGATGGACTATGCTGATGGCCTCAGAGTGAACTGCAGGTCAGAGGTGGGGAACCAAGTACAGACATAAGGACCAGGGAGGCCTGGACCAGGGTCAGACCCAGGGTCAGGGTGGAGCAGAGGGTCCAGGTTGGAGGACGAGTAGGCAGGCTTGGGCAGCCGGACCAGGACTAGAGTGAGGAGAATGGGCCCCGAGGACACAGAACTGAAGTGGCTGTGACCCTATTAGAGATCCCCTGATTGGGAGGGGGGACATTTCTTCCCTCCCTGACAGGATCCCCTCATGCTGGGCTAGAGGGCCCTGGGTGACTGTGTCCTCCACACCCTGCCTGGGACCTAGCTTCTCCCTCCATCTGGGACCCTCTTCTAATCTGCATGCAGCTGCCCTGACAGTGGAAGGCCGTGTGGCTCAGTGAGCCCTCCAGGGTCACAGTGAGTGGCTGCGATTGTGTGTCATTTGAGGGATTCTGAGGAGCCTCACACATCCCCACCCAAGAGGAAAACGCTTCCTCCACTAGCTGTGCAAGTGCAGGTCTCTTCAGGCTCAGCCATTCAGATGGGTGTTTCCTCAAGTCTCTTGAATCTTTAGCTATCTAGCTAGCTAAGTCACTTCAGTCGTGTTCGACTCTGTGCGACCCCACAGACGGCAGCCCACCAGGCTCCCCCGTCCCTGGGATTCTCCAGGCAAGAACACTGGAGTGGGCTGCCATTTCCTTCTCCAATGCGTGAAAGTGAGCGTGAAAGTGAAGTCACTCAGTTGTGTCCGACTCTTAGCGACCCCATGGACTGCAGCCTATTGAATCTTTAGAGGTTCCACAAAGTTGCACATGGCCTTGGAGAGCAGGCTTGTGAAGCTGTCTCAGGTAAAGTGTCAGTTAGGCTGCTGATATCCAAGACATCAGGGTGCTGGGTGATGGGTCAGGAGTCAGGGAGGTAGGCTGGAGAGTCCAAGAGGAACCAGGGCTCACAGCACATCTCCTGCTTCCCTGTCAACTGGGGCAGAGGATGGACCCAGTGATCTTCCTCTGGAAAGGTCAAGGAACTCAGGCTTGGGGGAGAGCAGATGCCAGGCAAAATTAACATTAAGGGTCCTTTTAACTCTGAGTTTTGATATTTTTCAAATTCCAAGCACAGAGAGTTAGCCAGTCTGAAAATTCTGGGGGCACAATTCCTTGGACTGTCCTTACATTTGACAACAGTGGCAAATTTGGGAGGTTCCCACAACTTACTTCAAGTTTAAGAATTCCCTCAAGGGATGCACAGACTCACTGAAAGCTCTCATGATCCCAGTTACAGTTTATCACATGGAGGGATGCACTTTCCCATCAGCCACAGGGCAGAGTTTGGGCGTGTTTCACACACGAAGCTTCCATTGTCCTCAGGACACGTTAATGTCCTGGATTCAGTGTGCGGCACTGCAGACAGAACACTGCCCTCCAAGGACACTCACCCTGTTTAAAAAATTATCCTGCCCTGTGGTCTCCAGTCCCTCCTGGAGGTCAGACTAATGCCCTAGAGTCCAACTTTTCCAGAGGTCAGAACTGATACCATGTGACCCAGAGGCTACTCATCACCTTGTCAGACTGTCCAATGGCCCAGGCAACAAGGATACTCGTATCAGCCAGAATATTCTAGGGGCTTAGGAACCACTTCCCAGTAGCCAAGGGTAAAAAATGTTGACTCCTCACTACACACTCTGTTGTACCCGGATTGCGGAATTCCCCCAAACACGACAGGAGCCGCGTATCGATGCAAAAGCAGTGAGGAACTTTATTACAAGCTCGAGCAGGGACTCTCTTCACACAATGGTGAAGGAGCCCTGAATGAAAGCGGCGAGTCTTTTTTATACTGTCTAGCAGGGACGGTGGGAAGGGAAGCTTAGGGGGATTGGCTAATTCATACAGTGCGCGGGAAGGAAAACTTAGGGGGATTGGCTAGTTTATACTGTGCAGCCGGGGAAGCCGGGAGTCTTGGTGGGATGGGAGTGGGGTGAGGGACTTCTCCCGCCCTTCTAGATTGCCTAGGGGTGGAGGGTAACTCGTCTCCTTCTGATTGGTTGGTTTGACGAAGTTTTTTTCTCTTCTTCTCGGGAGAGGTTCTCCCTCAGAATTGTAATGCTATCTAAAATGGAGTTGTTTTAAATTTTTCTTTCACAACTCAGGCCCTTGAGTGACAGTTTTTCTTCTCTAATCCCACTTGCCTTTGTTTATCTGTGGAGTTCCCACTCTACACACACTTTAGAAGTGATGGTGTTGATCTGCCTGTGAGATGTCTTTATCAAATACTTCTCTTAAGAGTATCCTAAGGTGATTTTTGCTGCTTTATTCCAGGATTGGATATGTACATGGAGCATCTACAGTGCCCAAATACGTGTTTAATGTAGAAAAAATGTTTGCATTTGTAAAATTCTTTCCTGGTAATTTATGATAACATCTGCAGCTTATGCAGAAGAGCTCTTGCTGAACCTATTTTACAGACTAACATAGTCTTTCTTAATACCTTGACGTTCACTGTTACAGGGAAGAGGCAGATAGACTACGTAAATATCTGAACAAGCTGCACAGAACCTTGGCCATGGGGGAATGACAGGCTCCAACGAGGCCAGTTGGACAGAAAGAGGCTTTTGGAGAAGTTTCCTCAGGTGAAACAGAAACTTGAAGAGGGCATAAAAAGCCCCGTGCCCTGGCAGACAAGGGTGACAAAGTGCACAGGGACTGCACCATCTCCCAGGTGGCCACCGCCTCCGCTGGCTCTGCGTCTTGCTTCCTGAGCGTCCTTGGCCTGGCTCTGGCACCCGTGTCAGCAGGGGCCAGTCTGACACTGTTGGTGGGATAGGGCTGGGAGAAGCGGCTGATGTGACTGGTGTGTCCACCATCATGGTGGAAAGTAAAAGCAGGACATCAGCAGAAACTGAAGCCAGTCACCTTGTGTCAGCTGGCATCAACGAGAAGGAGGTGACTTTGGGGCTTCTACAGAAGATCACACCCCAGATTGTTTCCTCCACAAAGTAACTCTCCCAAGCCATGAAAGGCATTGGGAAGAACGTCCAAA